AGCTGCTCTGCTTGCCCATTTGCCTCTGGGTGGTTCCCGGAGGTCATCTGCAGCTGTGTACCCTGTTCTGCAGCTGCAGCCTTCCACAACTCGCTTGTGAATCGGACATCCCGATCACTAACAATAGACTTTGGAAGCCGAAGTCTCTGACCCAGTTCTCCTTGAATAGTCTAATCAAGTACTCGGTCTTTGCTGTTCCAGGCATTGCAACTAACCTAGCGTACTTACTAAATCTATCCACAATGACAAAGATGTGTCTCATTCCACTCTTGTTGGGCACCAGCGTGTCCATGAAGTCCATGGACAAGCTCTCACCGGGCCTTTCCGAAATCAAAAGGGGCTTAAGAAGCCCAAGAGGGGCCTGTGTACGTGGCTTGTCCCTCTCACACACTTGACAGGTCTCCACGTACAGCTTGGGCCATCACTCAAGATGGTGAGGGTGTGTCCACCACCTCGACCCTAGCAGGAACAACTACCATTCCTACTGGCCCGACGTGTTTTCCGAAGCAGTGCCAGAACTGCTGGCAACATTGCTATCCTGGGAAGTGGAGGATGCCGACGTCTGCCCCTTTGTAGGCGGGATCTTTTCCGTCACCTTCTTATTTCGACACTTGAACTGGTTATGGCCATATTGGCCACAACGGTACACGACTACCGGGTGTAACGGTCTCTCCACACGTCCTCTGTGAGACCCGCTTTCTCCCATGGAGGAGCGTTGGGGTCTACTTGACTCCTAGACCGGGAGCCTCCGTGGCGTCTACCGGTCACCTTACCTTTTTGGATTGAGGCAGCGACTGCTCCACCCCCTAAATCCTCTGCGCTGCCTGTCTCTGAACCTACTCCCTCCTGGAAGTCGTCGTCATCTAACTCGATGGTGGAACTATGGTTATCGACAAACATAATGCGGCCCTTCGCCTTCCAGTTGGGAGGCAATGCCTTCTTCCTACCATCCGTCATGGGTTCGTGCCCATGCCCTATCTTTGCCTCTAGGTCCAAGGCCTTCTTGCTGAACGAGGGGAAGTTGTGCACTGTGATATTTGCCTCACCCGCCAGTTGATTCCTGAGTTCTATGGGAAGACACCTCATGTACGTGGTAAGTAGGACCTGGGGATCGTGCCGCACTCCAGGAACACAGATCAGACGCTCAACAACGTCTGTGGCATCCCTCACTGACCTGAACTTTATGGAGCTTAGGGTCAGGATTGCGTCAGTGGCCTTTTGAGCCTCCTGCGGATCATGCCACCTTTCTTCCACCAACTTGAGGAAGTCATCCAATTTATGGTTGACTACCCAAGCGCGGAAGTCATGTCTGTATCCCTGCAGTTGTACTAACCCACTTAACCATCTTGCTGCACTCCCCTCCAGGTAGGAGGCAGCCACAAACACTTCCTTGTGCAACACGATCAACTTGCACTTCACGTAGACTGGCACTGACCTCAACCATGTGTCAAGGTATTCATCCCTCTTATCCCCTGAGAAGGGTTTAGGCGAGGCGATGGCAGTCTTTGGAACCCACTGGCCTTGTCCCGGTACCTGCACCACTCCAGATTGTGGACCCTGGGGTGCAGGCTGTTGCACCAGCTGCTGCTGGGGTTGTGAGACGACAGGCTGCCCAGTTACGCCAGTCTGCAATGGCGGTTGGGAGAACACTGTTTGTACCGGAACCTATATACTAGGACCTGCTGGTAACCCGCCTGTCAAAGGCATTCCTAGTAGGGAAGCGGCTTGTACCGATGGTGGAGAGACTAGAAATGGGGATACTCCTGTCACCGGTGGGACAAACGGAGGAGGCTGTACCACGGGCCAGGCACCGGGTCCTGGTGGTGATGGTGCTGCCTGAATTCGCTCGACCAGGATGGCCAAGCTTCGCTGAATGTCCTGCAAGAGCAACGTGTGGTAGTCCTGCATCTCTACTACTTCTAACAGGGCTGCCCTCACGGTCCTCACATCATCATCCATATTTGTCAGGTCCATCTCCTCTAACTCTCTAATGTCCACTTGCCTCTGCAGCATCCTACACCTTCTGATCATTCTATCCTTTGCTGCTTGTATCTCATCTAAAGCCTTTTGTAGCTGTGCCTCTTGAGCACTTGGTCTCTGTATGGCGACGTCCTTGGGAGTTCACACTAACTGCTGGCTTTCCATAACGTCAGCGGACTGACTCAGAGTCTGTGCAACCGTCACCCCTACAGTCCCTGAACTACTGGCCTGGGAGCTTTGCCGCGTAGTTGTGGCCATGGATGCTGAAGTAGCGGCTTCACTTGCGAACGCCCTGCTTGCCTCTGCGGGCCTAGCTGTCCGCTGCTGCTGCTGTCTCTCCCTAAGCTGGCGGAACAAAAATTTGTCACCCTCGGGTCCTAATGCCACGTGGGCCAACGGGCGTCTTGCCGATCGCAGGATCCTATCGTCCGGGTCAGAATCCTCCCTGTCGCTCATATGCTACAGTACTGAGCACTGTCTACACTAGGGTACACTCGTTTGCCTACGGCAGCGTAGTGTTCAGACCAGTTTAAAATAATAAAAATAAATAATCGGTGGCATTGTCAGATAATACACAGTTGGGTTCAACAGGTAAGTTCAGATTCCTACAAACGAAACTATTTGATTTGACTTCCTACAAACGAAACTATTTGATTTGACTAGTTCGCAAACAGAAAGTAGATAAGAAGAAACAGTAAGTTCTACCTATGATGTATGTCAGATGTGTTAATGGTTGTAACATCTAACTAATCAAAAATAAAAATAGAATAATTTGCATGGCTGTTTGCAGAGTGGAATTGTACACGAACTTATCACCTGAAATCTACCCCTCCCTCAGTTCTTCTTGATTGTCACTTGACGTCAGCATCCCTGAGCAATCCCGATAGCATGCGTGTCTAAAGGTGTGCACACGGCCCACCCCTGTGCCCCGAGTCAATGGTGAGCCGGCCAGCCCTGCACCATGTCTACCCTCACGTCCAGCGAGCCTTACACCGACTGATTGGCTGATCAAGAGGCGTTTAAGGACGGCCCCCAAAGTCCTCAGGAATTATTTAACGTCGCAAACAGGACGACAATCACAGCCAATGGAAGGTAAACCCGCCAGTATTTATTTATGGACGTCCGGTACTCGTCTCCCCTGTAGGGCTGGCCTGCCCCTCATAACCCATCTACAGCGCAGCAGGCAGACAAAGGACAAAGCAGCGAAGCATGCGTGCTCTACTCCCGGTGGGTTGGCATGGTGACCGTGACCCAGTGCTTCGTCCAGGGCCTTTCAGATAGCTCCGCCCTCTCCTTCCACATGCTCCACGTGAACAATGCCAACTCTCAAGGTTCAGCGCACTCGACTCCTCACATGAGAGGACTCTCAAGACAGAACACACATCCTCACGGTAAGAAGTGTCGAAGAGGGTGGATAAGGTTAAGAGCAACGTACCTCAAAATAGCTGGCCCCAACCACAGATATTCTCACCAGATGACCTGATGTCGATTGTGATGACCAATTGCTGCTTCGGCACAACCAGCATTACACCGCCGTTCCACCTCAGCATCAATCGCACATCAGATAATTCTCATCACACTGCGAAACACCTAACACCACTTCGTAGCCTTCCTGGCGATACCCCTCTCCACCTGGGTCGCCTGCTTGCCTTCGCCCTCCTCACTACACACTCCCTACGGTTGCTCACCTAGCAGACCGCATGCATGTACCGCATAGGCAGAAGACAAGCGCCAGATTAGCGCAACGTACCACAGCTCCGATACCAAAATGCAAGGAAAATGAGCGATAGCGAATTCCAGAAACCAAGCAGCATTATCCACATGAAACTAGATAGTCGTGACCTCGAAACAAAAGCAGAATTGCAACTCAAGTTCCACCAAATAAGAGCACAGCAAAAGCTCACAAGTGACAATGTTGGAATAGTCTCATCATCATGAACAAAGAACCAATGTCGATTTCCTATCTGGCACTCTGCGCCCAGACTACAAATGGCAGATCCTATCTAGCCTATCTACAATGCTGGCTGGTGACGTCAACAGCTCCCCGAAGTACGAGCAGATCTCGGCCAATGCCGTTTGCCTCAAGCACCAGGTATGTCTCTCGCATCACTCACAACCCTGATCCCCCACACAGATGCCACGTGCACCCAAGGACCACCATGCGGCCCATCCAGCACCTCGCAGGCCAGCTCAGCTATGGCTGCCTGTGTATCCCTTGCTCGCCCGTGAGCGCGTGGGCGCTTGCCTGCCAGTAGCGCAGCAGCGCTTGCGCAGCATGTAGCAAGTGCCCGAATGCCAAATGCGAGGGCAGGCACTTTCCTAAATGGAAGTGGCCTGCCTGCTGTGTGCGGCCTGGCTGCGCTGGGCCCCTGCCCAGAAGCTTCCGGTATGCCCCAAGTGGCTGAGCCCCAGTCCAAGCGAATCAGGCCCAGGGCCTATGGCAGTTACCCGTGTTCAACTGCCCGCAGCCTGTGTTCGGTCCATGTTGCATATCTGGCCCGGGGCCTACCTCAGTTACATGTGGAAAAGGCAGCCAGAGCCTGGGCACTCTCAACCAACTGGTGCTGCGCAACTGCCTGAATTTCCCCAGTTGCGTGGTAGCCGAAAATATAGGCCTCTTGTCCTTGGTCGGGCCTGCCTTCACTTAAGGCGGCCGACACTGTTGAAAACAGGGCCCAGTAGGGCTCGTCTAGGTCTTGAGCCTCGCACAACAGCTAGCTGCCAAGAAAAAGACAGGACTTGACATGTGACTAAGCATGCTGCCTAAAAACTTTTGATGCAGACAGAGTCCCAGGAGTGTCAGTTGAGTTCTCTAGAATTAGAAGCCCTGTGTGGGTTGTTTCGGCAAAAAGATTAGTTAGTCAATTTTCAGCATGGCTTGACCATACATGAACTGGTTTCAAAAAAAAAAAAAAACATGAACTGGTCCTACTCAAGTTAGAGCCGTCAATGTCACAGTGAGTTCGTTGCGTTAGCACTCTGGGAGGGTACTATTGCCCAGGAGGGGGGAAACTCTCTACCTTGACAATGCGAACTAGGGCTCGATGCCCTTGATCGTGTACTCCTTGACTTTGATTTCGCCTTCCGTGATTTGTCCTTCATCGGGTATATGAAGCCCTCCTGTGACTCACATGCAGAATGACAAACAGAGCATACTCAGTTAGGAAGACCACATCAGCGGACTGAACAATAGTAGTGCAAACTGAAGCCAGATGGTCCAGTAACCGGACACATTCTTTTTGTTAGATAAAGAGCACATCCCGATGCACAGACAGAAAATCTTCGAGGTCAATCAGCTTTTTTATTCACCAGTGACAGTTCAAGCAGAACGTCCCGAAAGTCAGGAGGGTAAGGAACCCCATCTCCCCTTCCCCTGATGGGTATTGGTGGTGTGATCATTACTTCGAATACCTTCCTGATGCAAGGTTGCATGCGCCGTCCAGCTTGCGAGGGAGGCCAGTGCTCAGGAAACTACCGCCTTCCCCCGAACACAATGCACCATCATCATGAGCGTATACAGGCCATCTTTCTGCCACCGTACAATCACAATGACAGTGTGTTGTGCTTGGAGGAAGACAGAAGTCACCCCATTGGATGAACATGGGAAAGTAATTATGCAGCTACCTTATGATCACCAAATGCTGGGAAGGCCTGGTATCAGCGCACTACAACCGCTTACTGAAATTTGAAAGTGATGCGTCTGTCCATCAGTTAAAACAGGAAGGACACAGAGAACATAGAATGGCACGCGTGCAAGGACGGCATGGGATTGCACAAGTCGAGAAACTGCTGTCTCAGTGGTTTCTCTTCTCAAAAGAACCCTGCTGGGTTCTCTTGGAGGTGATTATACCTCCCTGACTCTGAATGCTCCTCGGATGGGGAATGCCGCATGGGCCTATCATATGTTCTTGCGGGTTCCATAGCTCTGGAAAAAGTCCGAAATAGCCAAGTACTGCAGGAAAGCGTCACAAACTGGTACGGTTGGCAGGAGACCAATCATATCGGAGGTTTGCATCCCCAGGTCATGTCTGGAGGTTCAGGCCTCCGCAAGTTCTTCCCCAGAATACAGCGTACGGTAATTATAGGTGTATTTGGGGAATCGTTCAGTCTAAATGCAGTTATCATGACCGTACGTTATATTCGGGGGAAGAAAGTAGAGTACACCTGCTTCGAACTCTGGTGCAAGTCCTATGACACGGGATTACTCCATTCTGTCAACGAGCTCATGGAATACACCAACTTACCAACCAGGTTCCATCCTCAGCTTGGCAAGCCACAACTGCAGCACAGATACAATGCTTAAATGCTGCAAACGTGGTCTGCTGCGACTCAAGTGCTCAGTTAGTGCGTTGCCAAAATATCATCAATGTATGGTCCTCTCAGGACTGCAGACCTCCGGACACTGCATATATTACTGACGAACAGGACATCTCCAGCTGATTGGCCTGTGCGATAACGACACCACTACTTTTGTTAACTACATCAACGGAAGGTTTTTCATCATCACATCAATTGAAACTTGAAAGTTAATCAATCTCATGCGAGATGTACTAGGCTTTACTTTCACAGTGAATGCATCCTGCTTCGCCACCCTTCTGCCTAGGACTTTTGTTGATATAAATTGACAAGGCAATCTACATAAGCACCCCTATCATGCCAAATTTCACCCCCAAAGAAAGTCTGGTAGACCACATTGGAGTTAAACCAGAAATGTACTTAAAAGTTAAAAGTTAAAAGTTAAACATTTACTGAGAATTTCGAACTGGAAAACTCCTTGGAACAAACCATGTGGAAAACTGGAGATGTCCTCCGTAAGATGGGAACTGGAAATCTCCTGTGCGAGATATCTATGGCGAACACAATGGCCGAGGTATGGAACCTCGGAAACTGGAAATCAAGGAAACGTCCTCAAGCAATCTCTCTAACTAGAGCTGATGCATAGAATGTCGCAGGTACAGCATGCTTGGAAATTGGAAATAACTTAAGGCAAACATATTCATAGAAGAACGGCTCTGGCCGTGCCATAAGTCACGTTCTGATGTGCAATCGCACATGTCAACCACTGACAGCACTGGTGATGAATCCATTATGATAACCCTAAAATGACGAAAGCCAGGACGAAGAGGGAAGGATAGGAGAGGTATAAAAAAAGGAGGAAGAGGAGGACGGCAACAAGGCAACTCGTGGAGGAAGAGGAGAGGGAGAACAGGCAGAGGAGGGGGGATCAAATGATGACCGATAAGGAAAAGAGAGCGGGACCTCTACGATAGTGGCAATTGAAAAGGAAGAGAAAGTTGGTGAGGGAGACAAGGCTCTCTCTCTCTCTCTCTCTCTCTCTCTCTCTCTCTCTCTCTCTCTCTCTCTCTCTCTC